ACAGATTTGCAGTCTTCGACAAAGTTGTTTAGATTAAAGGATCCAGCTTTATATATACCGATCTATCCGCGGCATTCGATAAGTTAAATCATGACATTGCGATTGCTAAACTCGACAGGTTTGGAGTGAGCGGTAATCTCTTGAGTTGGTTCCGTTCGTATCTTACTGGTCGCCAACTTATGGTTGCTATAGGAGATTGCAAATCAGCTAGCTTCTTTGCCACATCAGGTATACCGCAGGGAAGCCATCTGGGACCGTTGCTTTTCTACTCTACTTCAACGACGTAAATCTGATTATCGAAGGAACTCGATTATCATATGCAGACGTCCTCAAAATATTTTTACGAATTTGCTCGATCGCTGACTGCCACAATCTTCAACATCAGCTTAATGTCTTCGCCAGTTGGTGTACTTTAAATCGAATGGTAGTGAACCCAGCAAAGTGCTCTGCCATAACGTTCTCACGAAAAAAGCAACCGATTGTATTCAGCTATGAGCTTCTTGGAACGACACTCGAACGCCTGAATCAGGTGAAAGACCTGGGTGTGGTTTTGGATTCACAGCTAACATTCAGGCAACACATTTCTTATGTCATCGATAAGTCGTCTAGGACTTTATGATTCATCTTCAGGATAGCTAAGAATTTCACCGATGTCTACTGCTTAAAATCTCTTTACTGCTCCCTCGTACGATCGACGCTTGAGTATTGTTCTGCGGTTTGGAATCCGAATTACAACAATGGTGCCGAGAGAATCGAATCTGTTCAACGTCGCTTTCTTTGTTTTGCGCTTCGTAGACTGCCCTGGAGAGATCCGCTTCGGCTGCCCAGCTACGAGAGTCGCTGCCAACTGATAAACCTTGAACCTCTCCGGATTAGAAGGGACACCAGCAGAGCTTTGATTATCGCCGACACTCTACAGGGACGAATAGATTGTGAGGCTATCCTGAGGCAAATTGACCTAAACGTGCAACCCCGACCACTCCGTAACAACCTCATGCTGAGACTGCCACTGCGTCGCACGAACTACGGGGCATATGGTGCGATTTGCGGACTACAGCGTGTGTTCAATGGAGTCGCATCTGTATTCGACTTTCACCTCACACGTGATGCGCTTCGTCGGAGATTCTCATCTGTTTTCGCCGGCCGCAGTGACTGACAGAGAAAATTAGTGTATTTCCATTTATGTATTTTACATTCTGACCATGTTGCTTTCTTTTTCTTTCTGTGATTATTTGACATGTAATTTTACTATTATTATTATTATGATTAGTATTATTAACATCATTTGGGCTACAGCCAGCCTGTTGATGTAGGGCAACAATAAATTAGTATGTTTTTTCGTTTAAGATGCGATTGTAATAGAAACTACATTTGATGATTAGACAGTGCATAAAGCATGGATTCTGATTAGGTCGTATTATTGCCGCACAGGGAGGCCTCGAATTTATATTTCAAACGGAGCGTCTTACACTACCCACGGAAGAGCAGCTTGGCGCAGCTTCTCTTGAAGATGGCTGGAGGGACATCCGTTCTGCCGCAAGCCGATATGTGCAAGGACTTGGACGGTAACCTTCTCACGAAAGAGTGTGAGGTGATTGAGAGGTGGAAGCAGTACTATGACGAGCACCTCAACGGTGAAGCAGCAGAAAACGAAGGTGGCACGGCAACAGACCTTGGAGCACGCGCAGAAGACGACATGCTACGGCCCCTGATCTTCAAGAAGTTGAGGAGGAGATCGGTCGGCTGAAGAACAACAAAGCAACTGGTGTAGATCAACTACCAAGTGAGCTTTTAAAATACGGTGGTGAAGCACTGGCTAGAGCGCTGCACTGGGTAATTGCCAAGATTTGGAAGGAGGAGATATTACCGGAGGAGTGCATGGAAGGTGTCGTATGCCCAATCTACAAAAAGGGCGACATGTTGGATTGCTGCAACTGCAACTGATCACACTGCTAAGTGCCGCCTACAAGGTACTCTCCCAAATTCTATGCCGCCGCCTGTCACCATTTGCAAGAGAGTTCGTGGGTCAATACTAGGCGGGATTCATGGGTGCCCGCGCTACCACTGACCAAATTTTCACGATTCGGCAGGTTCTGCAGAAATGCCGCGAATACAACGTGCCCACACATCATTTGTTCATCGATTTCAAATCCGCATACGACACAATCGATCGAGATCAGCTATGGCAGATTATGACGCGATTGGTCAAGGCGACGATGGATCGAGTGTTGTGCGTTGTTCGAGTATCGGGGACACTCTCGAGTCCCTTTGAATCTCGAAGGGGGTTACGGCAAGGTGATGGACTTTCGTGTCTGCTATTCAACATCGCGTTAGAAGGTGTGATCAGAAGAATTGGGATAGACACGAGTGGCACGATCTTCAAGAAGTCCATCTAGCTTCTTGGCCTTCACGAGACGATGGCGGAAACGTACATCAGACTAAAGGCTGAAGCTAGGCGGATTGGAATTGCCATCAACGCATCAAAGACAAAATACATTAAAGGAAGAGGTTCTAGGGAAGACAATGTTAGCCTCCCACCCTGTGTTCAGATTGACGGTGAAGAAATCTAAGTGGTCGATGAGTTCGTGTATTTGGGCCAAAAAAAATGATACCAGCAGAGAAATTCAAAGACGCATTATGTCTGGGAATCGTACCTACTTTGGACTCCGGAGGATGCTCCGGTCGAATAAAATTCGCCGCCGCACGAAGTTGACTGTCTACAAGACGCTGATTAGACCGGTGGTCATCTACGGCCACGAGACCTGGACTATGCTCGTGGAGGACCAACGCGACCTTGGTGTTTTCGAACGGAAGGTGTTGCGTACCATCTACGGTGGAGTGCAGATGGATGACGGAACGTGGAGGAGGCGAATGAACCACGAATTGCACCAGCTGCTGGGAGAACCATCCACCGTCCACATTGCAGAAATTGGGCGACTACGGTGGGCTGGGCACGTCGTAAAAATGTCAAACGACGACCCAGTGAAAATGGTTCTAGAAAGCGACCCAACAGGAACAAGAAGAAGAGGCGCGCAGCGGGCAAGGTGGATCGACCAAGTAGAAGGTGACCTGCAGACCCTTCGCAGACTACGAGGCTGGCGAACTGTGGCCATGGATCGAGTAGAGTGGAAACGACTTCTTCGGACAGCAAAGGACAACAAGGCCTTAGCCTGATTGGTAGGTAAACTAAGTCTTACAAGGATAGTTTCTTTAGTAAAGTTGAGCATTTAAAAGTTCTAAGAAATGTTGTCGAAGATATCAAAGTCCTCAGACTCACTGAAAGTGAGATATCAGTTTTCGTAAAATGTCATCAAGACAATGATTATCACAGTTTATTTTTAACTTTGTTAGCTCAGAAATGTAAGGTTAATTCTATAGAGATGATATAATTTTCAAAAGTTAACAGTTTTAAAATCCTTTAGATTGGAAAGAAGCAAGCAGGAAATAACTGTTAACAAACAAACACATCAAATATTTGCGTGACGCTCCTGACGAGAATACTATGCCTACACTAACCACTCACGCCTTGTTCACGGTAAGTTTTCTTAGTAGGCTGTTATCACTTTAGGTGAGTCACAGGTCAATCAAATAGTTGCTGCCAACAGCAAGGAAAATGCGATCCAGCTGCAGGAAATGAACAAAGCGCATTGAAGCAATAGCTTGTATCAACACCTCGATTGACACCGAAGGGGTACAACTGTTGCTGCCAACAGCTGAGCGCGAATTGACACAGACGCACAGACACAGGTAACTGCACGCAAACCAAAAATTTATTACAATTAATGTTACTTCCGTTTCCTATCATACTCTGTTATGTCTATGCTTTCGCCTACACAAGCAACTATTTGCTTTGATTTTTATGTATAACATGGTAGAACGATGCACACACTTGCCTTGATTCTCTCCAGCAGAAAAAAGCAAACGAAGTATAGATTTGAGGGAATGAGCGCTTCTTCTTTGATTTTAGCCTATGCATTTCTCGAAGCATGGAGAGAGCAGTGGAGAAAGCGCAGGTCTTCTAATTGTCACGGTCGTGGTACGAGTCCCCCAGTATTCAACCTTTTTTTCGACATGATTAATTTCACTCACTAGTACACTCCACATTTTGTTTCTCCATTTTCTTGCATTGGACCGCAGCTCGGCATATCTCATCCTCGGTTCATGCGGTCTCCACTAACGTCATCTGATGATGAATCCCACATAATTGTAAGCGAATCTTACATCCCCCGGTTGGGTGTGTATACTTATGATAGTGCAATTTTGACTTGGTGCATTTTTCAATCCTCATCTACAAAAGAAACATTTATTTTTAGAGCATATTTGCCACAAATGGGCATGTTCTGTACACATTTGAGATAGTGGTCGAAATCTGCCATGATGCAAACTTTATGATTTTTTACGAGGTCACTAGGTGGATTAGTCATTTTTTTTTTAATATTCGACGTATATCGACTTTTAAAAACTAATTAAAAATTTGAAACTTAGCATTACATACAAAAGTTGTCTGAACTCTTGCGATCCATCTAAAGACTCCGGGTCAACACCCACAGATTGAGATACGCTGCACTTATCATTTATACTAACACTCATTGATATTTTTCAATTGTGAAACACCTTGGGCGATAATGAGGTTAGGTAACCTAGCATGTGAACTGCTTTCATATTAAGTCGACCAGTAAAATGTGCTGTTTTTGATGTTTAAGATCAACGACTTCCTTTTTTGGTGAACCTTTGCGATAGCTTATGATCATGAAATTTTAATGCTATATGATCAGTTATCTAGTATGGTTGGAGGTCTCGTACCGGTTAATTCATTTTGTAACGATTTAGAGATAGTGTACGACTAATATAAGGTTTATAAATTATCTATATGCCCTATAACAGTTCTATAGAGCGACAGAGCGTTTATGTAAATCAGAATGTCTGCTGGTTACGTGGGTTATTTAATTAAGTGGATTTCATTGTAAATCATTTTGACACCATCGTCAGCATTTACTCACCATTTAAACGCCTATACTCATCCGATGGTCGGGAGAAAGAGGGAAGGAAATATTGTCACCACAGGCGACAAATTGCAAACCGCAACCGCTAAGGAATCAAGCTACTGTGAAACCTATCCTTCTTTGTATTATTCACACGTCTTCACCACTTCCGAAGAATCCATCATCCGATATCGGGGAATCCTCAAGATGCTTCACCTTAGACACCGTGTCTTGAGCGAATTGAATTATCGCTTACTTTTCTTTCTTATTTCGTCTAGTGCCAATCAGCACTTTTCGTTTCTTCCGTCGATTAAAAAGCAAGAGGCAGAAACGAATGAAATCACTTTTTCTTCGGTACACCTTTCTTCACCTTCACTGCAAATTAAATCCAGAAACCTTTTCGCACGCACTCAATTACGCACACCGCATAAATCATCTGTACTGTTTTCAACTCATTTAACCTTAAAACTTCTGAGAAAAACGGATAAGAGGTGTTTCAATTCCAGAAACACAGCACTATGACACTGATGTGTTGATCTTTGGAGCGATTCTTCGAATCCTCAGCACTTTGGCTGCTTCGTTTCGATGTTAAATCGCTTACGGAGTCACACAGCCAGGATAATTGGCTGGCACCTGTGCCCGATTACCTCTTGATGGTTTGGCACTCACCTTGATGGTGGCTCAGTCCTGTGGTTTTTGCATTGCGGCAACAAGATTGTACGAATATTACTGCCAAGTCTGTGAGTTTTATAAAGTTATCTGATTGGGATTGCGCCAAAGTCAATGGGGTTCAAATCTAAAAATAGTACCATATGCTAGCTTAAGCGAGATTTAACATAATTTTGGATTGAGCAGGCCAAGCAAAGCAGTAATATTCTTGCCATCTGATGTAAATTTACGTTTTCTAGAAAATTACTACCCACCCCCGATGACTCACCACATTCACGCCGCATCTGATTTACGGTCGGTGTAATCCTGCGGTATTAAACTGTTTTGCCTTCGTAAGCTGTGAGAAACATTTTCTCCGCGGTTCATTAACATTATGATTTACTTTTCGCAAACTTTTCAGTCCAAATTATTTACGTTTGAAGTATTTTCCACCGCTTACGTTTCAACGTTCCCTTTATTATTTTAAAAACTTTCCATCATAACTATCCAGCGATTCACTTTAGCAGCACAGATTTTTTCTTTTCTTTTTTTCAACACAGTCTTATTACTTAATAAATTTTGAACTTGAACTAGCTACAGATCACCACTTCGATTCGGAAGTTGAATGAAACCTTTCAAGCTATTTTGTTATTATTTTTCTTCCACAATTATCACTTTTCTTTAATTAATCTTCCTTCAAAAATAATATCCCACGCAGCCCCTACCAGAACAATATAATCCAAAGTGTTCCGGAAAAATGATAATCCACAACTTTTCATCGGAAATAACTCCCTGGAACGCTTCCAGCGTTGGCGTCACTTTTCACTTAACCACGACTCCGGATTCCCAGAATCATAAGTTCATCTTCTGTGGATGGGGCACGAGGTGTCACGTTCATCAAATGTGTTTAGAGTTGCTCCAAAATTTCTCCCATCAAGCTGTATCGATCCCACCGTATACAGCACAGTTGATCAAGACGAACCAAACACACTTTTCCTTGGCAAACGTCAGCAACAAACTGGTTCCGCTGGCGCTGGTTCCGACACGGGAAAGGCTGACTAGCAGCCACATTCGGCAGCAGCACCAGCAACGGCAGCAGCAGCGTTTACAGTCTGCAGTAGCAGCATAAAAGGTCCTGCCTGGTACAAGAGCTGCTTCACCAGCATAGCGCGAGAGGGAGAGAAAGCGGTGGGTGACCGCTCTCTCCCACACGAGGAGGAATGAATGTTTTACTACGGCAGAAGCAACAGAGTGGAAAATAAAGTACCAACACAAGCACGACGGTGGAAGCTTTTGGCACAATCGGAGCTTTTTTTCCGGTGGGGGGTCCGTGTTCGTGTGGAAGCAGGCACATGTGATGTGTGCATTCTCGCGATGGGGCGAACGTTTCCATTCTGGGAGCTTGTCGTAGAAGGGTGCATGTTGAAAGCGCAGACCAACGGTTTGCATTCGAGGTGGAACCGCTGAAGCCGGTTGAATTCAAGCCATGCTGGGAACTATTCTTCGTATATTTATATCACGTTCGGTTTGATGCTCCAAATTTCGAAAAGATGTTGCAAAATGGCTTGGGAAGTGTGTGGTAGAATCATACACGCACCACAAATATCGCTTACATCAGATGTAAGGTTGGGTTTATGTACACAGAAAAAAAAAGTTGTTGAATATTACATACAAACTGCTGCAACCAGGTCAATCCATTGGTTGTGTAATGTAACGTTGTACGATGTACATCGATTTTGCGAACAAAATTACATCCATTGATGTAATATTGTATCTGATTTTTGCTATTACATCATTATTTTATACATCAGCTTGAATTACATTGATCGATATTACATTTTTTTTTTGCTGTGAAGGCAAATCTGTGCGGCGTGTGAGGTGTGGTGAGAATTGTCTCCGAGCAAACCGAATGGAGAGTCACTTCACCCGAGATGACAATTGTCACTTCACTAGTGATAGTGAGTCGCCACGCAGAATAGGCCTAATTACATCCTCTGCCTATGTTTCATACACAGCAAAAAAATAATTTTGATATCACGTCAAAGTGGATGCACTACAATCATGTCGAAAATATGGTGTAATATTACTTGCTAAAAAGGACAAAATTATCATTAATACAATGCATGAACTGACATTACGCTGCTTTTACTGCATTTGTTTATTTATGTGGTCATAAAAATTACATGAAATTTTCGACATGATTGTAGTGCATCCACTTTGATGTGATATCAAAATTATTTTTTTGCTGTGTATGAAACATAGGCAGAGGATGTAATTAGGCCTATTCTGCGTGGCGAATAAATTTTAATATTACATCCAAGAGGATTCACTTCAATCATGTCGAATATCTCATGTAATTTTTAGCGTCACAAAAATAAACAAATGCAATAAAAGCAGCGTAATGTCAGTTCATGCACTGTATAAATGATAATTTTGTCGTAATAATGGTCGTCCTGGAAAATTCTCGTCAAACAACAATTTCTTGTCGCACGACAAGATCACCACGACAAAATCAAGAATCCATCCAGTCGCGACTATCTATTCTAGTCATATGTCACTCATTCTGTTCTCTGAGACAAAGTCTATATAGGTTGTTTAAAAAGGAGGATCACGACAAGAAACCATCCATTCTAAAACGGAGGTTAGATTTAAATCAAGGCCGGAAATAATGTTAATTTCCTTCAATATTGGTATTTCCTATTTCAGAAAAAAGTGGGAAATACTGCCAAATACCCTTCAATATGTATATTTTTGGAATCGGGATGACGTCTCGTTACCAAAAATCGATATCCAGCGCCATCTTGAAATCCAAGATGGCGGCTTCCAATTTCAGAAAAAGTGGGAAATACTGCCAAATACCCTTCAATATGTTTACTTTTGGAATCGGGATGTCGTCTAGAGACCAACAATCGATATCCAGCGCCTTCTTGAAATCCAAGATGGCGGCTTCCAATATCAGAAAAAGTGGAAAATACTGCCAAATACACTTGAATATGTATATTTTTGGAATCGGGATGACGTCTAGAGACCAACAATCGATATCCAGCGCCATCTTTAAATCCAAGATGGCGGCTTCCGATTTCAGAAAAAGTAGGAAATACTCCCTTCAAAGTGTTTTTTATGTTACTTCATACGCGAAGTTAACGATTTTCAGAGTTGGTTGGAAATGCTAACATGAAGCTTTAGTGTGATGATTTATTAGCTAGAGAATGATCTTTAGAAGAGTGTAGGTGGATAGTTCCGTTAGAGTACGGCAGTATGAAAATTGAATAGAAGTTGAAAATGAGCGAAGGGCCATTAAAGCGACAGTTTACAAGATAGACGCACATTTTTGCCTAGCCCGTACGTGATGAAAACGTCGCTAGAACTATTCCACAGCCGCAGTCAGTTTATGAGCAACAAGAGGGACGCACATTTTTGCCTGTGGACTTGGAGACATACTTCAAGTCCCCGCGTACATCGTACGGGCTAGGCAAAAATGTGCGTCTATCTTGTAAACTGTCGCTTTAATGGCCCTTCGCTCATTTTCAACTTCTATTCAATTTTCATACTGCCGTACTCTAACGGAACTATCCACCTACACTCTTCTAAAGATCATTCTCTAGCTAATAAATCATCACACTAAAGCTTCATGTTAGCATTTCCAACCAACTCTAGGAAATACTGCCAAATACCCTTCAATATGTATATTTTTGGAAACGGGATGACTTCTAGAGACCAAAAATCGATATCCAGCGCCATCTTGAAATCCAAGAAATTCAGAAAAAAGTGGGAAATACTGCTAAATACCCTTCTATATGGGTAAATTTGGAATCGAGATGGTATTTGGCAGTATTTCCCACTTTTTCTGAAATTGGAAGCCGCCATCTTGGATTTCAATGTGGATATCGATATTTGGTCTCGAGAGGTCATACCGATTCCAAAAATATACATATTGGCAGTATTTCCCACTTTTTCTGAAATTGGAAGCCGCCATCTTGGATTTCAAGATGGCGTTGCATATCGATATTTGGTCTCTAGAGGTCATCCCGATTCCAAAAATATACATATTGAAGGGTATTTGGTAGTGTTTCCCACTTTTTCTGAAATCGGCAGCCGCCATCTTTGATTTCCAGATGGCGCTGGACATCGATTTTCGGTCTCTTGACGTCATCCCGATTCCGAAAATATACATATTGAAGGGTATTTGGCAGTATTTCCCACTTTTTTTTTTAAACCGGACGCCGCCATCTTGGATTCCAAACATCGATTTTCGGCAGCTTCCAGTTCTGTCCGTTCCAAAAATACCCATCACTGCAAACACGAAGCTCAGCGCCAAGATTCAAGCTACCTACTTCGAGTCAGAGGTGAAATCACGTCAAAACAACACAATTCCAGTTATTTCTATCTTGTTATGTCTCGCATCCAAAGCGACATCCATTTATTAGAAAACGACCAGCGGCAGTTTTGTCGCGACAGAATGGAAGAATGACATGACAGACTTTTTTCGTCAATAGCCATGTCGACAGTTTCCGTCAATCTTGTCGTCCGACGTACGTGAAACAACTAAGTCATTCTGGAAAACGTCACGCAACAGATGTTTCGTGACCAAATGAGAGAAAGACAAGAATAGAAAATGTTTCGTCGAGAGACAACCCAGTAGATCAGTCTTTCAAGCAGCATTTTGTTGCATCGTGCTTGTCAGATGAGCGTTGACTTTTTTTTGTTGTCGTTGTTACATAGTTTATCGTCATGAGGTTGACAATTCCCAAGCCTGG